TTTCTTGGTTGTGTGTGTGTGTGTGTGTGTGTTTGGTTTTATTTATTTTCAGACACCAATCACGTGCTTTCTGTGACCATGGTTGATTAATTTTTACCAGACATGGGACCTTCCTGCACACTTCGGGCAGGTCAATAAAAGGCATCCCCATGGTGGGCCCTGGGGGGGAGGGTAGGGGTGGGGGTGGGAGGTGGCAGCAGCTGGTGGATGATGAAAGGAGGCCTGTGAGGCAGGTCGAGTCGATGGGCATTGCTGCACATCTGGAATGTGAGCACTTGTAATAACTTGTGAGCACTTTGTTCTCACGCAAACTCCCGGCCATCGAGTCAGTGCCGACTGATAGCGGCCCTATAGGACAGGGTAGAAATGCCCCTGTGGGTTTCCAAGACTATAGCTCTTTACAGGAGTAGGAAACCTCATCTTTCTCCTGCAGAAAAGCTGGTGGTTTTGAAGTGCAGACCTTGTGATTTACAGCCCAAAACGCAGCGCACTAGCAGTGTCGCTCGCAAGGGTAGTGGCTAGTAAGAGGAGCTAGAGATTCAGGGTAGAATCTCTACCCCCGTCTTCCCGCACATCTTATTCCTACTCTTAATCTGATTTAAATATTTTCCTGTCTGGTCTGCAATTAGTTGACTTTCACTTGATTAGTTCAGTTGTGCCCACCATGGCCACCAAGGTGCATGCATGTGTCTGGGGTGGCCCACGGAGCACATGTCGAAATTCCTTTTCCCTTTTCTTCCCTGAAGTGTGGCTGGTCTATTAGTTGGAGCGGGAGGTTGTCACTTATCGGGGGACTCTGGATCCCAGGCTGACTTTCTCTCCTGTTCTCTCAGCTCCTTATGAAGCCAGACCGTCTCTTGTCCAACCTGAAGGAACCTTGTCTGGGGGCCCTGGTGCAAAGCCCCCTCGTCTCCAGGCTACTCTTATTCGGGTAAGTGATGCTGTGTATGTGGTGTGTGTGTGTGGGTGTGTAATTCTTTGACAGTGGGAGGGTGGAGACCTATTTTGGACTCTTGGGATTGCGCTTTGGAATGGATTCTCTCTTCTGTAAGAAGATATAAAATGACCCCTCCCTCCCCAACAAATACTGCCCTCCTCGTTGTGCTGTTTGCATGTTGTTCTAAATATTTTCGGTGCCTGTTTCTCCCCCTTCTCAGTGTCTCTAGAGGACATCTGGTGGGCTCCTGGCTTTTGCTACATAGTTAATGCCCATCGCCCTCAGCTTTAGACACCCCCTCCAGGAGCACCAAGCTATGTTTTTCCCAGCACCGCCCATCATCATGTCCCTACCGCCTTCTTCATTGATGCTCATCCAGTGAACAGTGAACTCTCTCTCTCTCTCTCTGAATCTCTGATTAGGTTGTGTGCTTCTGGAAGGCAGAATTGGCTCTTGGGAACTCTCTCAGAGAGAGTTCTAGTGTTGTTGCAGAAACAAAAACCAGAGTAAAATAAATTACTTGGAAGTCACTTATTTGGTACCACAATGAAGAATCAAGATGCCATTCTCACCTCAGCCCAGCCCAGCTCAATTTTACCCACAAGTTGCAGCAGGTGGCGGTTTCTTCAGCCAGGCCCTAGACAGAGCAGTTGCATGGGCTTAGTGGTCCTATGGTCCACAGATAATGTGTCTTGAAACATGATATTCTCACGTGTTGTGGAGTGGTGGTTATCTTAGGAAAGGTTTTGCAGGGGCTGGAGTTCAACCCCCAAATCTCCAGGGGAGCTGGGCGAGCTCTTGCAGAATGTCTTCAATGTTGTAGAGACCAGATCCTTAGTTGATAGAGATCATCAACCAAGCAGGACCCCTCAAACTTTCCAGCTCTAGAGCCGGCCTCACTGTGGTCCCCCTCCCCCTACGAGCATGCATGGGGTCATCATGAGCTCAAGTCTGGATGGGGTGCACCAGGAGTCTTCTAATCTTGAGGTCCTTTTCCTGATGACAAACATGATTCTTGAGTCTTTGCTATAATAATTGCCATATATATTTGAGTATAAGTCGAGTTTTTCAGCACATTTTTAATGCAGTTTTTGTGGTAAAATTAGGTGCCTTGACTGATATTCAGGTCAGCTTATAGTCAAGTATACACGGTAGTAATAAATACCATAATTTCTACAGTAACATACCAACATAAATAACGTCCATACATAAAATGCCTATAAGAATTATGTGTGGAGGTGGGAAGGGGAAGGTTGTGTGGTTTTAGGGGAGGAAAAGATACAGCGCATTATTTGCGTCCAAATATGTCAAGTGCCATCGAATCGGTTCTGACTCATAGCGACCTTATGTACAACAAAACGAAACACTACCTGGTCCTGTGCCATCCTCCCAATTATTCTTATGTTTGAGCCCATTACTGCAGTCACTGTGTCAATCCATCTCGTTGAGGGTCTTCCTCTTTTTTGCTGCCCCTGCACTTTATCAAGCAGAGACTGGTCTCTCTTGATAACATGTCCAAAGGAGCACTGTGGCTGTATTTCTTTTAAGACATATCTGTGTGTCCTTTTGGCAGTCCATGATACTTTCAATACTCTTCCCCAGCACCGTCATTCAAAGGCATCGATTCTTCTTCAGTCTTCCTTATGAAACACACTGAAGTTTACAGAAACGAGAGTATTGCATTCCCAGTCCCTGTTCTAATGGGGTTTGCAGGCTGCTGCAGGGGAGATGGTCAAAAAGGGAAGCCCTCACCAAGGCAATATGTTATTCTCATCAGTTGTGTGACTCAAAATGATCTCGTGCTATGAGGGGAAAAAGTGAAGCTTGGGAACATGACCTAGCTTTGACAGAATGATCAAGGGCAGCTTCCAGAAGGGAATACCATTTGAGTTGCAGCACTGTTATCCAGGTGAGGACATAGGGGGCTGGGGGGCGGGGGGAGGCAGGGATAGGCAAGAGGAAATACTGAGCAGAGGGAGCTGTGAAAGAAAGGCTCTTTCGTCTTAGCGCTTTAGCCACGTGATCTCTTTAAATACAGTTATCTCACGAGGTAATTACTGTGATCCTATTTTTCCAGATGACAAAACCTGGGATTTAAAGGCATTATTTAATTTGGTCATAGCTAGGAAGGAGTAAGTCTGGAATTCAAACACTGGCCTCCTTGCATTAGCCTCTGGCTGGGGACCCGGATGCGTGGTGATGCCCACCAAGGAGCTTGGGGGGGCGGGGCTGCCAGGCAACTGGTGTTGGGGAGCCTTCATGAATTGAGTGTTGGGCATTGGACTTTAAAGTTTTGTGATTACCAAGAGGAAGTATTGTTGAGATGGTAGGACATATGACTCAGGGGAATACCGGGGCCTATACAGGGGCATTTGACTGTGATTGGCCATTAGAAGGTTGTTGGGTATAGTGCAAAGAAAACCAGGCAGCTCTTGTCCAGGCCCAATCAAACACTGTATGATCTTGGGTAGCCTCCCCCCTGCGCCCCCCCACGACAGGGCAGGGGAATGTGTTTCACAGGTCGCTATCAATTTGCAACAGTCTGATGCTCCTTATGTTTGACCTCAGGCGAGGGTTTTCTCCCCTCCTCTCTTTGGAGCTCTGGCTTTTGTTCAAGTTGAGAGCAAGGGGCCTTTCTCAGGATAGCAGTTTGTGGGTTGGTTTGTTTTCATGGTTAATGTGGGTTTCCATCATCAGTTCTTAGGTTTCCTTCGTATGCCTGTCAACCTGGTTTGGCTAGACGCCGCCTCCAAGAAAGCAAACTGCCTGCCTGCATTCATTATGTAGAGGAGGGGATTTGAAGGGAAGTTTCTGGGTGATAGGGGATGAATATTTATTGGGCTGGATAATGAATTCCCCTCAGGTTTCCAGGCTAATGTGCGGTGATTATAGACGTCCCCTCTCCTTCTGCTTCCTCTGCGGCCTTATATTTAAGATCTTCTTGCCTCACTCAGAGGGCCGTGGCCTCGGGTGTTGGGGGAGGCCCTAATGAGGAAAACGTTTTAGGAACTCTGGTCCGCTGTTGTTTGAGGCTCATAAACTCATTGCCATTGAATCAATTCTAACACATAGTGAGGCTAGAGGATAGGGTAGAACTGTCCGTGTGGGTTTCTGAGACTGCCAGTCTTTATGGGAGTAGAAAACCTCATCTTTCTCCTGTGGAGCAGCTGGCGGTTTGGAACTGCTGACCTTGGGGTGGACTTGATATTTTGGAGGTGCTTATGCTAAATGACACGCCCTAGAATTGGACTGAAGTCTTTTGTTACTTCATAGTTGAGGAATTTCAGTAGATTGAATTTCTCGCTCCTTGAACTCTCAGATGCTAAGCGTACCCTCTGGTGGTGGATCTCTGATTGTCCGCTGTGAAGACATTTTAAGGCTTCTTTCTGATCTCACCTGTTGTGAAGTGTTTATAGGACCTTTTGGTGGTTTATGAACCCTCGTGGTGCAATGGTGTCACATTGGGCTGCTAACTCCACAGAAAAATGATGAGGCAGCCTGGCTTCCTAGATTTACAGCCTTGGAAACGCTGTGGAGCTTCTCTGCTCTCTCATTGTACGGTCACTAGGAGTCAGAAGAGATGTAACAGGAGCGGGATTGGGTTTTTGCGTGGTTTGCTTTTGCTGTTCCCAAGCTATCTGAGACATGTAGAATATGTAGTGATCTGTAATTTTTATCGCGTAGAATTGAAAATTGCACTTTCTGCTCCCAGAATAGCTCACCACTTGAGTTTTTGACAGGGTTTCTAGGAATTGCCTTGTGTGGAGTGCTTTTCTTAGTTGATCTCTTGGCAGTTCCTAATGCTTGCAGAGCTCTTGTCATTTGATTTTGATGCTAGTTTGCCACCTGCTTCTATGGCTTCTCATTGCTGTTGCCATAAGACCGTTCCAATTCCTGATGATCTTCTGGATAGCCGGATGACATGTCGCCCAGTCCTGTGCCATCTGCATCATCCTTGATATGTTTGAGCTTTTTATGGTGGTGCTTGGGTCAAATCATTTCATCCAGAGATATCCCTTGTTTTCATCAGCCTCTACTTTGCTTGACTTCTCTGGATCCCTTCTCTTAATCTCTCTTTTCCATCTCCAGCCTTGGCTTCTTCCATCTGTGTTGTTGGTTCGGGACCAGATTCTCATGTTCTTTGCTCTTTAGGTCCATGGAGGCTGATGACCGCAAATCTCCATCTGTTAGATGCCTTGACTTGGATTGTTCCTCTAGCAGTTGAAGCTTTCTCCTGTATTTTCCTATCTCCAACCAGCCATCATCACAAGCCAGGTCTTGGCCATGATCTTTGACTCCCCTCTCTCCCCTTAGGCCCTTTCAGCCACCAGGTCCTGGCCATTCTGGTTTTTAAATACTTCTTATCTGCCCATCACTCGGTCACCTAATCTATTACCATATACACTCGAGTATAGGTCGAGTTTTTCAGCACATTGTTATACAGTTTTGTGGTAAAATTAGGTGCCTCGGCTGATATTCAGGTCACCTTATACTCGAGTATATACGGCATATCTATCTTCAACTCTTTTATCTTCCACTTTGGTTCTCTTTCAATCCATTAGCCTCACCGTGGACAAAAACAATAGTTTAAAACCACAAACCTTGCCATCACACTCCATTGGTGGAACCCTTTTACCTTTGCCCATTGCTCTTAACTGGTGAACTGTACTCGCCAGCCCTTCTTAGGCCTGTTTGGTTATCTCTCTGGACTTAATTCTTCTAGTCAGTTTTTTTTAACCACTGCATGAAATGTGAGAATTTTCCTGCCTATGTGATATTTACATATTTTGGTCTTATGAAGTGGTTCATTGTTCCTTTGCTCATTTCATCTCTCAAACTCAGGGGATGAGAATCTGTATCTCTCGTATCATTCCAGGAATGTTTTTTGCATATACATGTGAATAGAGTTGTACAATGTATTTTTATTTGACCTCAAGAGCTAGGCTTGGCAAATTAAATAATCAAATATATTTCCATCCAGGTCTCTCTAAAAG